GTGGATAAAATTGTAAAGGGCTAGGAAAACGCCCTTATTCCTGATAATATGAACGTTTCAAACGTTCCATATTTAAATTGGGCTCCACTTGTATCACCTTACGTCGAGCGCACATTTAGTACATTCAAGGCTTTTCTTCGCGAAAATCGAATGAAAACGCTGCCAGAAAACTTCAAAATGCATCTTGTGGTTCAATGTTACTACAACTATACAGATTAAAGTTTTATGAGTTAGAAACTCGAAAGGATAAAATAGTCAAAGATTCAAAGTACAAATTTTTCATATAATGAAACTAGTTCATAGTTTTTCTCTTTTTACTTGTAATATAAACATTTCTAAAAAAAATATATTTTTTTATTGTTCTTCGTATTTTCTGTCGTTTTTTAGTCCCTTATTTTGCTTTTTTTGCAATACCTTTTTTTTTGCCTTTTCCTGCCTTTCTCGCTATTTTATTTTGCCTTTTTTTGCCTTTTTTACAATACCTAGTGCCTTTTCCTGCCTTTTTCGCTATTTTATTTTGCCTTTTCCAGCCTATTTCGTTACTTTATTTTGCCTTTTTTATAGGTTTTTAGGTCCTAAAAATCCGTTCCCTGATAATGAGTTAGACATTTAAAAAAAAATAATTATTAGATAAAAAAAGAAATATAGCCAATACTGGCCAAGAAACGGAGTTTCTATTATTGCCATCAGTGCAAATTGCAAATCACGAAAATCCCGGGATTATTTGCCAAGAATGCAGGGATTTTCGGGACCTAAAAAGGCCGGGATTCCGAGCCTAGTACTTACATATACACATATGTATGTATGTAAGTTTGTTTATTTACGTAATTCGATAAATCGAATGAAGATGGTCGTGGTGCTATGCGTTGTTCCATTGACAGTAAACCAAATCAGAGCTTAACGGGCTGCCTTCACATGCTTTAAAATCGCGCTTTAGTTCTGCTTTCTTCTCTTGTCATGCTAGCGAGATTTTCCAGCACGTGAAGATGGCCGATAATGCGAGTAATAAAATAAAATACATGGCGCTCCACGTTTTTCTGAGTATTTGGCCGACTGTGGTCAATTGTGGTGTGCGTGCATTTATGTTCGCACAGTTTTACGTTCCGTCCGAATGACAGATGTTTATGTGTGAGAAGCTTTTTCATTGCAAAATTTTAAGAAATATAGTTTTTGAATGTTGCTTGCACCAGCGCTCGAACCTGGGTCGTACCGAGTGGGAGTGCGCACCTCTAACCACTCGGCTAAGGCAGTAGAATTGCAGAAAGAATACCAACTTTAGTAAACTAATTCTTCACACAAAGGTGTTATGTAAACACAAGTTATTGGGTGCTTATATCTGGCAAATGAGCAGCGCATGTATACACCCAGTAGGGAAAGAAACTAGTTTAAACATCGATATTCAACCAGTATTTTACCCACCACAACTAGTTGAAGATCTGACTTTCTTCCTTAGAACGAACTGTTGACTTTAGCATGGCGACGTCCTAGGCATCAATCAATTATCCGACTCTGCATTTGATTTTCACTACTTTAAAATGCATTTGGCTTAAAGAACTTCAAAGTCAGTTTGTTTCGTTCGCGTTTCGCGTGTTCAAACACGCTTTCGTTCCGTACTTCACAGACGCTTTTCATATTTCCAAGACACAAACACAACTTTATTATTACTTCCACATGTTGTCTCTTTTGGGATTCCAACCCGGACTTTCTGGAAGGCATCTTTGACGCTCAGCTACAACCAGACATGTAAATGTGCTTTCAGATGTTCAGTTTGAATTGTGTGCGAAATGTACTTGTTAATTTTTTTAAATATATTTTATATTTAATCATTTTTACGAACAGTTGCCGCAGTGAAATCCGTTAGAGTAAACACAATTGCGGCGCACGACGGCTTCTGTCAGTTGCCATTTTGGTTTGAAAAATTATCATTAAAATTAAATATTTTTTCGGTGCGTGCGTAGTGGTCCAAAAATGCACGGGAAATTTAAAAGTCAGAATTGTAATGCTCTCACCCCCTAGGATGCTTATGTATCGAACAAAAGTATACCCCTATTTTTTTTTTAAATCAAAAAATATTTAGAGGTCGCTCAAAGCGCTCAAAGTTTTCCATGTACTTTTGTATGGAAAACAACAACTTTTCGTAGGAATAGTATATTATAGTACAGTAGTATCTTAAAAATAAATATTTTTCTATCGAAAGAATCTGTTTCTCTGCAGGAGTTTCCCAATAATAATATCCAATTGTTAGTTAATCATTTTTGCATCGCACCTATAATTTATAGGTCCGCCAAAAACTCACAAAAACCCCGAAAAATTCAATGGGGGACCAATAAAAAGTCGTTAGTATTAAAAAATGGTTAAATAAATAATTGGGTATTACTATGTAAAGTCTCCTGAAGAGAACCTGAGTTTTCCGATCGAAAAATATTGATTCTCAAGAATTCTATACTATTTCTACGAGAAGTTGTTTTTCTTCCATACAAAAGTACATGGAAAACTTAGAGCCCTTTGAGCGACCTCTAAATATTTTTTGATTTCAAAACATTTCGATATAGAAGTATCCTAGGGGGTTAGAGCATTACAATTCCGACTTTACAGTTTTTGGACCACCACATAGATTTTCTGGAAATATGGATGAAAACATTGGCAAACTTGGGAAAATAATAAAAATTACTACAATCAACATTGTGCCATCCCCGCTGGGTGGTAAAAATATAAATAAATTTAAATCAACCGAAAAACGTCGGTGATAAAAAGGCTACCGCCGCAATTATGAGCCATTCCATATGCCTTTGTGAGTTTTAATTTTGACAGCAGTTAACCGTCATACGAGACTTTTTAATTAACTCCATAGTGACTCCTTCTGCATTCTTGCGACCATTTTTAATCACCTCCAAAATATTTTCTATATGTTGACCAACGGTAATGCGGTCTAGTTATTGTCTTCATTTGCAAAATGTTTGCTGTATGTTCCAGCAACTTTGAATATTTAGCAATTGTCATTAAAGCAATGATGAACATCGATCGGCCTTGTTATAGCAGCACGTAAATAATTGATACGCAGACTTTCTTGTAGAAAAGTTTCCCTGAATTGACAACTTTTCTAAGGCTTTCTCAACTTCAGAAAAATTTTCTGAAAACTTCCTGGTAGCTTTATATATTTCCGACCATCTTGTTTCACACAAACGTGATATATTAGGAGCATACTTCTTGAGTGTCGTTGATTCGCTAAAAGCAAAGCTGTAGGGGGAGGGAACTGCCCTCTACCCTCTGCCCCTACCTGGCTACCCCCTTGTGTGTATCGTTGCCTTAATCCACAAAGACCCTAACCAGCAAATTTTGGATAAGATTATTAAGTTTTGATGGTTTCTCGTTTTTTGATCTGAAAAGTGTATGCAATGAGCTTTTTTAAAAGTTTTAAACATATGTATATTTTTACTGTTCTTGCCTAAAGGTATCCATTTCTATGTTTTCAATAACCGGAAAATATATTTTGATTTTTTTTTTTAAGATCACTGCCTGCCGTTTTCAAGTTAAAAATAAAAAAAATTCAAAATTATTACTATAAGGATTTTAATCCTAGCATAGCTACGTGTAGTCTCTTCACGGAAAAATGTCAAAAATACAATTTTGAAGTGAAATGTACATTTGACGTTTTTTTATTTTTATATATACATATATCAGAGAAGCAGGGGCGGATCCAGCGGGGGGGTTTTGTGGGTTAAACTACGTGTCAGTCAGTGGCGGACCCACGGGGGGTGTTTTAATACATAGACGCCATATTATACAAACATATGCGCCATATTAATATACACCCCGTGCGTCGGCCACTGACTGACACGTAGTTTAACACCAAAAACCCCCCTGCCTATAAACTTTTGAATAAGATTAAACAAAAAGCGTCCTTTAGCTGTTCCAAAAAATATTTTTTTTTTATAAATTAAAAAAGGTAACTCCCAATGAAATAAATAAAAATATACATATGTATGTATGTGTAAAAATTAGTTTTTTATTCTTTTATTTAAAAGAACGGTTTTTGAGATATCGAAAGGAAAAAGAAAACCTGGCAACTCTCCCACGAGTAGTTCGAAAATAAGGCCTTCTCAAAACCATATCGATTAATATTCATATTGTAATAATTAATTTAACTTATTAAATAATTTGAATTTAATTGTATAACAGGTGGTAGCCCATTTCAAAAAAATAAAACCTCATTGCACATCTAAAGGTCAAACTCTTTAATTTGTCACCTAATTTTTGAGAATGGAACGCACTATATGTACCTACAGTGGGGAGCAAAAACGGATACATCGTGATTTTTGTTAAATAATTGCAAGATTTTTAAAGTTAATTTTTTTTTTGTTATTTTTTTATTAAAACATAGTTCTTGCTTTAATCGAAACCATATAAATAAAACTTTCAAATTTTATACAGAGCTTAGGAAAATACAACAAAATTTTACTAAACTTTTGAACTTTTTAATCTAAATTTTAATAAAGTTTTTGTGTACGCAGTTTTATAGCCTGTTAAATTTTAGTGTATCGAAAAAGTGCAAAAGGCATTAGCAAAAAAAATTATTAAAAATCAATGCGATATTTCAGCCGCATTTTATAAAAATTCAGATTAAAAAGTTCAAATTTTTAATGAATTTTTCCAAGATCTGTATAACGCTTGAAAGTTTGACTTGTATGGTTTTGGTTAAAACATAAACTATTTTTAATAAAAAAAAAAAAAATAACTTTAAAAACCTAGTCAATATTCAATAAAAATCGCGATGTACGCATTTTTGCTTCCCCCTATAAATGTTGAATTGCAAATTGCTTTACAGTGAAAGTATCCGGATGGAAGTTATCAAAAAATTCAAGTTCAAATATTCATTTCAATCCGTCCATAATTATATTTTTGAAACACTTTTTATGGAAGGAAAACACTGTGCGTCGATATGAAAAGTAATTGCATTGCTTGAAATTCGAAGCATTACATACTGACGTTCTAACACATACCTGGATCCTTAACTTTCCTTTTCGGTGTTTTGTTTTTCAATTTTTATAGAAGCAATTGATGCAACGTTCACACACACACAAGTTTAGTCATTCAAGATGGAAGTATTTGCCTGAAAATAGTTAATTTTTTACTCTAGTCGTTTTAATAATTATACTCTTAACAACACTGTCACAAAGCACACAATTTTTTCATTTCTTTAGATTTTCTGAAATTTCGTCAATTTAATTGATTTATTATTATTTTTTTTTTAATTTTGCGTTTTTGAACAATATATTTAAAAATTCACCTCGCTATTTTGTGAAGATAAAAATTCGTATAGTTTTTTTTTCGTAAATTGGTTACATAAATCGGTCAGGCACACCTAAACCATTTTTAATAACCAACGCACGAGTCAAAACGTTTTTGGGCAGCGTATGCGCGCGAGCTATTCAAACTGTACCGGCGAAAATGCCAACTTGGACTGAACTGAAATCTTCAAGTTAACTGAAATATTGGCTGAAGACGTCCGACAGATAGAAGCGCACCAAATACGCCAAATGGAATGGAAATGCCAGTACAATCAGAAGATACAAGAACAACAACAAAGGGAGAAGCTGTATCAAACAATTTGGCAGCAACGATATCAACAACGGCAGCTGCAGCAACAGCAGCAAGTGGAAGAGCAACAACTGATACAACAACAGAAACAGGAAATATATCAACAAAAGTCAGAGCAACAAACGCCACCGCCAGACCAGCATCAGTCAAAGCAACAAACACAACAATTAATAAAAAATACTATAAACCAGCCACCTTTATCGAAGCACAGAAAGCAGCGAATTAACCAAAAGATACGAGACAACAACAAAAAGTTACCTACAATCATGGATTGCGTAGTAAGCGGTGTGGCGAGCGCTGGTGTTGCTGTTTTTATGGGTATTGTTGGTGTTGCCATTATGTCCGCTGACCTATAACGCAGCCACAATGATGACAGCAACAATAACAACCAAGGCATCAGGAGAGTTAGCGCCAGTGACACCGAAGAAATGAGAGACGATCATCTCAGCCTATGTAGGTACATATATTTGTGTGTGTAGTTGTGTGCGCTGGAAAGTTTTCGAGTATTCAAGGTACACCAAGGTAAAGTCCAACTTGTGCGAATAAAAATTTAAGTTAATAAAAGCACATAACATGGTGAACAGAATTGCAACGGATAGCAGATAACGGGCT